GTAGTTGTTTATGTAAGTGAGAATATTCTCTATCTTATCGTATGGTAGGCTTGCTTGCATTGTGGCAGAGTCTAATTGGATACCCAGAAAAGTGATAACCGTGTCTGGCCCTTCTGTTTTCTTTGGGGAGATGGGTACACCTAGTTGCTCAAACAGCTTAGTGGTAGCTTTGAGGCTAGTGGGAGGTGAAGTATTCTCCTCGACCAGTAGGAAATCGTCCAAGTAATGTAATACCGTAGGGCATCCGGCTATGTTCAATAGTAACCAGCATAATGCTTCTGGCAAATGTGTCGAAAATAGCTGGGCTACTTTTGGACCCAAAAGTTAACCGGGAGAAAAAATAGTAGTTCCCGGACCACTTGATGCCATGCAGGTGCCACAGTGTGGGGTGGATAGGGAGTAATTTGAAGGCGTTAGTAATGTCTGTCTTACTGAGTCAGGCTCCAACCCCTGCTTGTATGATAACTGTAATGGCGTGATCTATGGTGGTGTATTGCAGAGAGAATTCCTCAGAGGGTATGAGGGAATTAAAACTGGGGTTGGCCGATGAGTGGGGAGCCGATAAGTCAATGATGAGTCTCTGTTTTTGGGAAGATTTCCCTGTGACAATACCAATAGGGTTGGTGCGCCATTCTGTGAATGGAGGAGTTCTAAAAGGCCCCAGTACAAAGCACTCATCCACTTCTTGGGCTATGAGGGTGTCAACCACTGTGGGGTTGTGTTGGGCGGATTGTAGGTTAGGGCATTCCAGAGTTCCAGCTGGTATGTGTAGGATACCTGTGTGGAAGCCTTCTGTTAAACCAGAAATAAGAGAGTCTACCAGGTGTCTAGATGGGTGCTGAGACATCAATGTTGTGAATACTGGCATATTAATGGACGTAAGGTAAGGCTTGGAATACATTTTATTTGGACACATGGTCTTTGCATGTGCCCTAAAACATTTTGAACAGACATGCAATAGTCTACATCCACTGTAATTACAAGACCCAACATTGAAATTATTACATATTTGGGACTTGCCCAGAAACTTGATTGGGCGTCCCAATTTGTCTTTGGATAGTTTCCCTGGATCCCCAGAGGAACTAGTTCCTTGTGTGGAGGCATGTCCGTCTGCCGTGTTGGGACAAAAATTAGTAGTATGGGCTGTGGAGGAGCAGTATGCACAAGCTGGTGTTCTTAGACCTGCAAAGTGTCTGCAAAATAAGACGGTATCAATCCTTCCCCAGTTGGATCGTGTTCCGTACTGGGAGAAGGCTCCAGCCACTTTGCAGAAAAAGACCTATGGTAGTCATAGAATGCCGAACCACCATATTTGTTGCCCAGGTCTACCAGCTTGTGCATATAGAGATCAAACTCCTCTCTTCTGTTAGGATAAACCGCACAGATGACATCCCTGTAAATACCAAACGCTAGTACAAATTCTGAGATAGTTAGTTTTCTGTTCAGGCGGGCATCCCTAGATCTGACAATAACAGAAACATCATCATAAGCATACGTCTTATGTTCCACAATGTCCTGGGAGGCAATCAACAGGGAAGCCAGGTTGACGTCTTTACCTTCCAGGATATCTCTTTTGATATGCTCAGGTATCATGTGGGCCGGGCTAACTTCCTGGTCATCCAGGGTGCTGGCTGGAGCAACTAAAGGCAAGGCTGGTGTTTGTACCGCAGCCGCGGGTGGCCCTGCTAGAGTGAGGGCCGTGGTGACCGACTCAAGTTTCTCCAGCCTGGAGTTGACCTTGCCCATGGATGCCATGAGTGAGGATAACATGGCATGTATGTCCCCTGGGTTGGACTGGCTAGATCCTTCCCCGGCCTCCATGTTATTAGTTGATGTGCGTAGCAGTTTGAAAAGTTCTGCCTTCCTTGCTGTAGCAGGGTAGGGGATTTGTCGTCTCCTTAATTCCGTGGTTATGCGCGGGATTGTCGAGGATCTGATTGATGCTGGACTAGCTAGCTCTCCTCCTTGTGTGGGAAATTATTATTTAAAATGATGTGAAGTGATGTATATCTATATGATATATTTGTATTGAAAAAGACGTATCAACCCGAGAATTATTGCTTAATTGAAACTATATCCTTTGTATGTGTTGTAGTAATAACCCAGAAGTGAGGCCTGTAACATAGGCGGAGTCCATTTGTATAAATGGATAAGTAATGCAGACTCCTGAAAGCGTGGGAGTCAAATGGTATATACAGATAAGTGGACTTGATTTGTGGACGTAATAAAATAACTGACAATATTTTGAAAGTAATCGAAATAATCTATTTAAACAAGCAATTCTTAACCGAACGTTATATACACATGAAATGGTGAATATAATTCATGAAAGGATTATACGTAATATACAGAAAAAGCCGAAAGCAAATGTGAGGGAAACACAGAAGTTAGAATAGTTTAACCGTATGACTTTATGCGAACCGAAAGCGTGTTTGAGCGTATGTGAAAATTTGCCGAACGGCAAAACAACCGATTGATAATTCGTTTCAATATAACATGAAATAGGATATGCAAAATGACAATTGAACGATTAAGTATGTTAAGCCGAATGACCGTACGAATGAAAAAGCCCGCGAATGGCTTAAAACATTCGTGTCATAACCAGGGAAAAAGCCGTAAAGCGAGGACCCGTGCTGTACCGTACGCCGTGGGAACCAGTCCTGGCGTGACAGGAAGGTCTGACTTACGGTTTAGGAGTCCCTGGGACGCGATCTACGACGGAGACCGGAGTCAGAAGAAGCTGGACGGGCGGAAAGGCCTGAACAGGATTCCTGGACACAGCTAACGTGGTGAAAACCTTGTGGATACTGAAACCAAGATGGCGTCTGAGAGAACCCGGAAGTGGATCCTCATTCAACGCTGACCTCGAACGGTAAGGAGCAAGGTAAGGGGAGTGCCTTAAGTAGGCTAGGGGTAGCAAACCAGCACCTCCCACAAATGCAGGCAAATTGCCTTAATACATATATATATATATATATTTATTTTAATCACAGAGAGACGATTTTGTTCATGCCCAATATGCTGACTGCTTGTGGGAGAGTCAGTTCATCAGGCTTACTGCAGTATCCCTTTAAAGAAACACCAATGCAAAATATATATGACTTTAAAATGTATGTTTTGTTATCGTGTTTGCTACTTTGTTTAAACTACTGGGCTAACCTGGATAGATATATATCTGATTTGTCAAACCAAAAATAAAACAAGAACGTACATGTAATCCAGCAGCAGGTCAGTCTTCGCAGAGCTCATAAAGAAGCATTACATTCAACGACACCCTTTGAGAATTAATGGATGTGTTCAGAGTCATCATACTATAAGTGATAAAGCCGAACATGAAGATTAAAAAAAAAAAAATCAAGGTTTTCAATTAGGTCAGTCCGACAATGTCAGACAAATGTAAACATTGACATTTTTTTTCAGAAACCACGTTTTACATTGCTGCGTAACAAAGGACAGCATCTGTACACCAAAACTACTGAATTCATATGAAGTTGTTGTGGTGTTTAGAGTGTCCCTTTAATGTATCCTTGTGCAAGAGCTGTTCTTGCAATCTTACAATATTATAGTATATACACAAATGAGGATAGACAAAGAGACAGACAGTCTTCAATAAGATATATAAAAATTAAAAAATAAATGATTTTCATACAAGCTATGCAAATTCTACAAGATTTATATGTTAAGGTTCCATTTTCACTTTCCACTACATTGATTGTATTGGAAGCTCAGTTCACACCACAAAGTTCCAATTTGTTTGGGTTTGTTGGCAACAGAGGTCACAATTTCACGTCACCACAGTGTTGCACTGAGATATAGGAACCTCACATCACATTATGACCTAGAGTCAGAGGACCTGTCCGTTATTTTATTAGGGAGACCAAGTTTTCAGTTCCCTTTACTGCTTAGTGGTGGCATCCCACCAGGTATACCTCCTAACTTTTCAAATGAACAAAGTGTGATATTTTAATTTTAGAGGTGTGAGTGAGGGTGTGACTAGGGGCAGGGCTGTTTTCAGACATTTTAGGTGACTTACTAATAATTTATGCATATCAAGAATATGAACTCATAGAGAAGAGAGGCAGACGGATTATGGCCCAAAATAGGGACACTAGGAAGGTATACAAAGCAGTGTAACCCCTATTCTCAGTTAGTTTCACCTTGGCACATGTCCCAGCCTTCCTGATATTTGGGGTAACTCTACTAGGCTTGGGTTCTGGTGAGATTTAAAAGCCACACAATCTTTAGCCTCAGTGGATGAGGATGTCTCAAGGATCCTCAATTACATTCTCACATAACCAAAAAAAAAAAAAAGTAAATAAACACTTTTTTTTATATTTATATAATATTTATTTTAAGAAAAGGAAAAAGGTGATTTTTTTTTTTTTTTTATTGTAAACAACTGCCGAGATGTTGACCCTCATAACACAACAGCATACAGTATTACTTTTGCCCCTACAAAGACTAGTGATTTGCAATTTGCATGTATTTTGAATCCAAAACATTTTTGGAGTAAAGACCACGAAGAATGTTTTTTTACTTCAAATATTTCCCAGTATGATTGAAAATGGTCATCTTTTATTGTGGTACATAATTCTATTCTGTATATTAAGTACTAGGAGGGACAGCAAGTTGCTGAGAAATGATGCTAATTGCTCATCATTAAAAGTTAATATCATACCACTATAGTGAAGTCACGCACAGAGGCTGAGTCTTATCAAAGTGTTGCAGACAGTTTTGCGCCATTGGTACTTTTTTTTTGCACCCGAATCATCAATTTTTAATGAACACTATTTTTTCATGGGTGCAATAGATCAATTTTTTTGTTAAAGGGACACTATAGGCACCTAGACCACTTCACCTCATTTAGAGAAACTGTGAAGTTTACATTGCAGAATTAAGACTGCCTCTAGTGGCTGTCTACCAGGCGTTCTTGGAGTTTCACAGAGTTTGACTCCGTGAAATGACGCTTTGCATGAGGACATCCAGCGTCAGAGAAGACACCATAGCCAAGCATTGAGGTAATACTTTTCCATGGGTAAGGCCTAATGCCGTACATGTGAATTAGGTGTTTCCCCCCCCACACACACACACACACCGGCTGATGTCTGAGGAAGCGAAGCACTACCCATTGTCAATGGACCTCGGTGCTGGAATCTGGTAAATAAAGGCTTAACCCTTTACATTTAAGGTAGGGGAGCCTGCTTGGCTGAGAAACGCAGTGTTATGAATACAGCTTTGTATTCCTAGCACCAACATATATCTTTAAGTTTGAATGTACAGGTGGCTATTTATTTTTTAACTTATATATGTTTATATGTTATTTAATTAAGCCTAAACATGAAAATAAAATAAAAAATTAACTCTTGAAGCGTCATATGCATGCGTTTGGCACTGCTCGAGAAGATTTTGTTCTTGCATTGCATCATGGGACAACAGGGTCTCTGCAACATGGAAGTTCAGTGGAGACAAGGTCCTCCCTCCCCCCCCCCCAATTTGTTGCATTTTTTAAACCAACACAAAAGTGTTTAAAGAAGAATTGTAATTTCCAGAGAAGTGACATCTCCGTGCTCCTGAACGTCTGTAACCTTGACATCGGTGCCCATGGGTGATTCAACAGGACTGGCATTTTGACTGCCACCAACACAGGATAATAGGAGTTCCAAGAGAGACCCAGTTTAAGGTTACCCCAAATGTATCCACTGTCTGCACATTACCTCGAAAAGAGGTGTTTAACCCCTTAAGGACCACACTTCTGGAATAAAAGGGAATCATGACGTCATTTTAGAGTATTGACCTGTAAGCAATCAGAGTTTTCAAGTTCCAATACAATTTTTGCATTATAGGTGCACTCCTTGTGAACTGTTCTTGAACACAAAAATGAGTGTTCAAACAAGAGTACGGTGTAGTGTTTGCTTGTGTTTGCCTAAATGTAAAAATTGAAGTAGGCATTGTCCATGTCCTAGTGATATCAAAAATGTTAGAATTTTAATATTCCAGTGATAAATATGGCATTTTATAATCGTTCATGTCTACGGAAGTAGTTTTCAATGCATTTCTGTTATTACACAATTACTTATTACACTATTAAATATTTAGTTTTAAAATTGCAAATTCGTAAACATAATCCTTGATGAAGGAAGAATCTCATTTCAATTTGCAATCATAGTAACACATTGCTTCTAATTTATATGTAATGGAGGTATTGTAATTTCCTGGTATGCCTTAATGTCATGGTATTTATCAGAGTTGAAATTCGCCAGGAGAATTCTTGGACCAGCTCTGTAAGGGAGAAGGTTGACCTTTGTTACAGAAGTCTGTTTGGACTTCACAATCGGCAAACTGAAAAAGAGGAGAAGCAGAGGAATGCAGGTAATTCAAATGAAATAAATCAATGCGATTTTAAAATATCTTGTTCTATGATCATTATTATTGTAAAAAAAATTTGAATTATTTAATAAATGTATTTGAAAAAAATAAATAAATGGTATGCATGTGTATCTCTATAGAACAAAAAGAGGAGGAAAAATGCAAACAAATTAATAAAAGCACTAACCCAAATCCCTATGCACATTTAAATAATGGCCATTGGATTAGTACTAAAATCCTCCTGTTAAAGTGCAAGCTCATCTGCCCAATCAAAATAAACCTCTTAGGTGACTCCTACACCAACGATTCCCCTTAGTGCTTTCAGCTAAAATGCAAAAATCTGATGAGACAGAAAGAGTTCTTATGGAACCTATACACTTCAAGGGAACATTGAGCTGTGGTGCTTCTGATGCATGTACCTGTAGGATTTTCACTGTAGATGCAGCGTCTTCAGAGAAAAGGCAGTGTTTACATTGGTGCCTAGTAACCTCTATTGTCAGCCACTAGAGGTGCTTCCTAGTCACGTGTTGCACAATGTGCATCACTGGCGTTCAGCATCTTCACGCCCTGCATTGAGACGCTGAACACTCTCCATAGAGATCCATTGACTCAATGCATCTCTATGAGGAGGTGCTATTCGGAAAACATTGGATTGGCTGACATAATAAAGACTGATGATCTCAGCCATGGAGGTGGGGACAGGCATGGTAATGCCAGAGCAGTGTTGCAGAAAAGGTGAGTAGAATTACCTTTTTACTGCAAAGAGAGGTGTCCAGTGACCTAAACAGCCACTTCAGGACTATAGTGTCAGAAATACAGGTTTGTGTTCCTTACACTATAGTGTTGTTGTTTTTTTCAATGCTTAATAAGATACATAAAAAAAAAAAATCATACAAATATTCTTGTTTCTGGGGTGAATTGTTAGTGTAGGACTCACCTGCCTTTTGTCAAAGTACTTTGTTTAAACAGCACGGGGGAGGAAAGTATAGATTAAAGGACCACTATAGGGTCAGGAACACAAATGTGTATTCCTGACCCTATAGTGTGAAACTAACTTAAGCACCCCTGGCCACCCCTTGTCCCCCTTAAAGCTAGTAAAAAAAAAAAAAAGTCACCTTATTTCCAGCACTGAGCTGATCTTCAGGCGCTGGCTCTGCCTCCTTGGCTGACATTGGCAGCTAATCACAATGCTTTTCTATTTGATATTTGCAGGCAATGAGGTGGGCTGAGGCCTGGGGGTGAAGCCAAATGTCACCCTGGCCAATCATCTCCTCATAGAGATGTACGAATTAATTCATCTCTATGTAGAACATGGAGACTCTGAACATCAGTGCTGCACCCAAGGAAGCACCTTTAGCAGCCGTTAGAGGAGTGGTCACTGGAGGTATCCTTAGGCAGCAATGTAAACACTGCCTTTTCTCAAAAAATAAATAAATAAGTGTTTACATTAAAAAGCATATAGGGACGGACTATACTCACCAGAACAACTACATTAAGCTGTAGTTATTCTGGTGACTACAGTGTCCCTTTAACACAAATAGATGCATACCATAATGCAACTGGTTTTCTCAGCAGACCACTGCCTTCCACCACAAGATGACAATTTGCAACATCCTCTTCAAGTGGGTTGGAAAATAGTATCTCAACAGTTAAGGGCACATTGAAGATGGGGTTTCCACAGACCTAATGGAAAGGGAGGAAGAGAAAAAAAAGATAAAAGTTTTTTTATAATATAAATAAATATTTAAATACAAGTGTACATACACACACACACACACAGTATTGGTAGAAGTCCTTGCACTCAGGCTGTAACCACTTATTAGATACAAAAAAAACTCCTTTATTGTTCTAACATAGGAAGTTTTCTGTGTGGGAATAATACATATGACAAAAGTAGTCTCTACTGAAAGAAAACTAGAGCAGAAATAAATGAAAGAAGAACAGATTCTGAGAGAGAAAAAGAAGAGAAAGTGATTTGGGAAAGGCAAGTTCGGTGTGACAGTGCCGCTTTAAATAGTCATGTTGGACACACAAGGTCTGTCTGGAGAGTATCCGGCCATGTAATATGAAAAATAGAGACATTTATTGAAGAAGTTACAAGAAACATTGTACATTGGACAATGATGCCTCTGTCTACTTCAAAGTAGGCACCTTGAGACCCACCATATTTCTACCAGTGACTCTTCCACTGTTAAAAATTTGGGGAAAAGCCAGAAGTCTCAGGGTTCCAAATTTTTCAACCTATTCTAGACCATCGTTTATGCCACACTTATTTGCACTACACTCATTACATAACCCCCCAAAGCCTTCTGAATTATCCCAATAGTTCAAGCTTAATGCAAAATTTGATGCATATTCGCTGCTCAACTTGCTCAGTCATTTTGAATGTAACAGCCACACCATATACATGCTCATTCAACAGTGCCTAGCACCTCCACTGACTAGTCCTGACAGGTTATATTGATCTTGCGCAAACTGTTCTTGCTAGGTTAACAATGGCTGGACTTATTCAAGACAGACCTTGTGTGTGTGTATATTTTTATTATTGTTATTCATATAGTGCCAACAAATTCCAAAGTACTGTATAATAGGTGGTCTAACAAAGATGTAATTGTAAGCAGACATGTTTTAGATGGAAGTGTCAGGATTTGGCGAATTCCTGGACATGAGGGGTGAAGGAGAGTTCAGAGTCAAAGAGAACACTTAAGCAGCGAGTCAACGAGGTGGAACTAATGGTAGTACCATTAACATGGAGGGAGACAGAAACGGGAGCAGCAAAACTTGAGGGAAGAAAAACCAGAAGTTCTGTTTTTTTGTTTGAGTTTAAGGAAGTGAGCAGCCATCCAGTTAGATATAGCAGAGAAGCAATCAGAGACACGAGTCAAGAGGGGTGGCACGAGATCAGGAAATGACAGGCAGATTTGCATGTCATCCACATAGAAATGATATTGGAAGCCAAAGGAGCTGAGTTTACCAAGGAAGGCAGTATAGATCAAGAACAGTAGGGGACCAAGGACTGAACTGTGGGGAACACCAACAGAGAGGGATTGGGGAGAAGAGGCATCCTTCTCTCCCCCTGAAGAGCCTGCCTGGCATGCTCGGCTCAGTATTCTTTTATTATTTTTATTTTCATAAATATTTCTGCTGTGAAGATATGACACATTTTTAAAGTGACTCAATATTAAATGCTAAGTAGGCATGTGCATTGGCAAAAAATTTGGTTCGGAAATTCGGGTAAAAAAAAATTCGGCACTTCTGCATTTTGGTTCTGTTCGCCACTTTTGAAATTCGGGAACTGGGCAATTCGAAACGTCTGTAGGGCTCCCTAACCCTAACCCCACCCCTAAGCCTACCTGTAAACCTAACCCTAACCCTGTCATCATTCATGTAATTTTCCCTCCTCCTCTTGTTTTGACACTTTTCAGAAATCCAAAGCACTTCGGAAATTCGGCACTTCAGCACTTTGGCAATTCGGCACTTTGGACATTAGGAAGCATCCAAATTGCCCAATATTCATCTGAATTCACATTCGGAATGAAACAAATTGCACTTGCCTAATGTTAGGTTTTATAATTCACACTAATTTATATATTTTTGTTAGGGAAACCTTTCACTACTCCAATTAGAAAAAGAAACACTGAAAGAGTTCTGCAAGAGGTAGGAGGAGCACCAGGAGAGCGCAATTTCTCGTAGACAGATTACGGAGGATGAAAAAAAGCAATTCATGATCAACAGTGTCAAAATCAGCAGAAAGGTCAAAGAGAATCAGGATAGAATAGGGATAGCGAATTTTGCAGTGATAAGCTCATTGGATACTTTGGTCAAAGCCATTTCCACATAGTGATGAGCGCGGAAACAAGACTGAAGTGGGTCAAGCAGAGAGTTGGATTCAAGAAAGTCTGTCAACCGTTCATACACAGCTCTCTCAAGCATCTTGGATGCAAAAGGCAGTAGCGAGATAGTGCGGTAGTTGCATGGGGAGTTAGAGTTAACGTTGTGCTTTTTCAGAATTGGGGTTACAGTTGCATGTTTGAAGGGTGATGGAAATATGTCAGGAGAGGGAGAGATTGGAAATTTTAGTTAGGCAGAGCAAGAGAAGGAGAGAGAGTGCAGATGATGTGAGGGGATAGGATCAAGGGAACAGGTGGTGGGGCGGGAAGACCGGAGTAGAGCAGAATCCTCTTCCGCTGTAGCGAGTGCAAATGAACATAAAAAAAAAAAAGTATTGGCAGGGGAATGAGATAGATGAGAGATCTCTTCCATGATTGTAGGTTATATACACATGCATATGCGCACACGAGGGGGAATTTAAAATTCTTTATTTACCAATACAAAGTAATTTTTTAATTAGTATTCGTAAAAATTGGCTGAATGATAAATTTTGCTCTTTCAACTTTTTAGTAGATAGAGCCAATACTTGTGGGATTTAGGGGCTATTTACTAAACAGCTGCAAGATGCAGCCGCTGCACAGTAATAGATTGCCTGAATTAAATTTTGAAACGAAAATAATTCCAAACACAAATG